TAATGGAGGCGGGGCGGGGAACGCCCACGGGGAAAAGGAAAAGGAAGCAGTAGCTTAATTTAGCCGGGAGGGCTTTGAAGAGGAAATAAAACACGACGGGATAGCCGCGCAGCCGTTGTAGTTTCGGAGACCGGAGGCGTGTGGGCCCCAAGCTTGCGGTGCTTCTCCGGAGCCCAGGCTTCTGCTCAGGCTCGTAGGTGAAGAGGGAAGACGGGTGGGTCCCTCTGTCGTCCCGAGGGTCCCCTCTTCTGGATCTGCCGAGTCTGGACCAGGACCAGCAGTGGGCCTTCATTCGTGGGTAGAGCTGTGCCCCCTTTGTTTCCCAGGTACTGTCATGTGAACGTACCCGAGGGGCTCCTGAGAGACCTGTTACCAGGACCAGTGACCCTGGTGATGGAACGCTCGGAGGAGCTCAATAAGGACCTGAACCCCTTCACTCCCGTGAGTCGGATTTTCTCTCGTGTCTCCCTGGCATTCGGCTTTCACACGACCCAGGCTGGACCCAGAACCCACTCCTTCCATCCTTTCTCATGGTCCCCTTTCTCCTTGCTTCATAGCTTGTAGGCATACGGATTCCTGACCATGACTTCATGCAGGACTTGGCCCAGATGTTTGGGGGGCCACTTGCTCTCACCAGTGCCAACCTCAGCTCCCAGCCCAGTTCTCTGAATGTGGAGGTGAGAGTTACCTAGTTGTCGTCCCATCCCCAAATGTCATCGGGCCTAACACAGTTTTCTCTGAACCAGAGGGGTTGGTGGTTTACTGGAATTGCCTGACAGGAGAGTTTAATGATGGGAAGTCTGCCCAGTTGGCAGGGGTTGAGTTGGGGGAAATCCAAGTTAAAGAATCTTGGAAAGGTTTTATTACAAAGCTTGAGGAGGGGTGATGGGTGTTTCCTTTCTATCCTCCTATATAATAAAAGGCCAATATGCAAATTGTCCCCTGGGGAGTTTGACCAACCAGAAATTTGACTGCTCGCTATGACATGCACTGACCACCAGGGGCCGGTGCAGAACAAGGAAGGCCCTAGGGACCCTACCCATGCACGAATTTCGTGTACTGGGCCTCTAGTTTTTTTAATAAGAAACATAGTAAGTATAATTGTTTTCCCCCTTGTTGTAGGGGTAGCAGTTATTGGGGAATAAGGCAGTAAGTCTTTACAACAGTGCTACAAAGGAAGTTAAGGCTCCAAAATGTTAAATCACTTGGCCTAGGGACTCCTGACCACCTTCTCTTACCTCTGCCATGAGCCAGGTCAAAGGACCATCCTAATCCTGTGTTAGCTGCATAGCTTGGAACAAATGAGGACACAGAGAAATTCAACTTACCACTGTTTTCTTCTTACTGGACTTAAATGCAGAGCATAGCAAAGGGATGTGGTTTTCCATGCCCAGACCTAGAGAGTGGGTTCAGGAGCCTGGGAAAGTGAGAGCTCAGCATCCCTTCTTATTCCCAGACTGCAGGCTTTTACTTGGTCCTGGTCGCCATACTCAAGGCATTGGGGAAGGGGGTGGCGGGAGGTATTCCTGCCTGCTCAGCAAACAGTTGACCTATCCAACTGGTATTCCCCCATTCCCAATTCCCAGGCCCATCTTCATAAGGGGTGAGGGCAGGGATGAGGGGCGGGTGGGCGATGCTGTAGCTAAGAAGGGAGTACCCTTCCCGTAGCCCAAGGATTGAGTGTTGGTGGCATGCACTTACAGAGTCCACCCTGTTTCCTCTCCGTACCGTGATCCACAGTTCCCCTGAGCTCCAGGATTGGAGTGCTAGAGCTGGAGGGACCCTTAGGGAGCATCTGTCCAGCTCCCTAATTTTACAGCCATAGATAAAGTAACTTGAATGCGGTCATACCGAGATTTGGAGAAAAGTCCAGGGTAGAGCCCATCCCTTTGGGCTTCCACTCTTTGAGCTCTACATAGATGTTACTTGGGGTGCTGATGTTGGGGAGAGGACCTCAAACCTCATAGGATGTAGTGTCCTTAGCATAGCTGACATTAATTAATTGAGGTTCCTTCCCCTCTTATAGGAATGTGCTTCCTGGTTTGGGATTGTGTAGCCCAGGGGTCCTCAAACTACGGCCTGCGGGCCACCTGCAAATACAAATATTGTATTTGTTCCCGTTTTGTTTTTTTACTTCAAAATAAGATATGTGCAGTGTGCATAGGAATTTGTTCATAGTTTTTTTTTTAAACTATAGTCCGGCCCTCCAACGGTCTGAGGGACAGTGAATTGGCCCCCTGTTTAAAAAGTTTGAGGACCCCTGGTGTAGCCTTTGTCTTGTGAACCCTGCCTGCATTGTGACGACATTGCATGGGGTTAGGGTCCATGCTCTTCCTCTCCCTCTTCTTAGGAGTTCCAGGACCTCTGGCCTCAGCTGTCCTTGGTAATCGATGGGGGACCAATTGGGGATGGCAAGAGCCCCAAGTGTCGCCTCGGCTCAACTGTGGTTGACTTGTCTGTGCCTGGAAAATTTCGCATCATTCGTGCAGGCTGGTGAGTCTGTCTCCTATGCTGTGGGGATAGAATTTGAGGGAGGTTGGGAATGCAAAAATGGCCTTGACAAAACAGAGGTTGTCACACTCTCTTGCCCTGACAACCTTTATTTTGGAGAAGTGGTGGGTGGAGTGAGACTAAGTTTGCTGGTGGTTGCTGTTTCATTTAGGATTCGAAAGGATTCTTCAAGGGTTTGATGAACAGAGTGCAGTAAGACCAGAGAGTTAGAGCTCCCTGATCACTGGACTCTGGTGGGCTTTGAGAAGTCAGATTCTTAACTGTCCTCATTTCCTCCTCAGTGCCCTGGAAAACACTACGGATGTCCTCCAGAGGAAGTACGGGCTGCTCCCTCACAGGGATCCTGCTGAGACTTGAGAGGCAGAAGGGCCCAGGGACTAATGCTGGACACTACGTTTCTTGTCTACCAGTGGATGGCCAGGCCTCACTTGAGAGGCCACTGGGGCCACAGCGTCACTAGTCTGACTTTGAAGGCAGCTTATCTTTAAGAGCACTGTAACCAGGCCCCAGAAGAAGCTGGTTTAGCTTCACACCTGGGGAAGGGGGCTATATTTATTGTCTATAATTTCATGTCAGCCAAAAGCTGAATAGAGACTTTAAGAACATTCCTAGGATGCTCTTATTCTGATAAGCTTCTTCTCTCCCTCTTTTTTTTAAAATTCTTGATATATAACTTAAATAACATTTGGAATCTAGTGAGAGTTGGTGGCATTTAACCCTACCAGACCGCTGTACCGATTTTTCGGTAATTTCCACACAAAGGTGGAATATTGTCTCCAAGTTCCATCTTATTCTAACCACTTGTTTGCATGTAACTAACATTTTTCTGTATCATGTTGGTTTTTTCTCTTTAATGCTCAGGAGCCCAGGTATAGGGGGCAGTTAGGTTCAGGGCTGGTGGTGCGGCGGGCTGCATTGCCTGGCAGAGGGTCATCGCTTTCTACTAATGGTGGGAAGCCAGCTCAGTTGGCAGGGAGTGGGATGGGGGATCCAAATTAAAGAGTATAGGAAAGTAAATCTCTCTTCAGACAGTGCCTTTTTTCTTATTCATAAAATACATTATAATGACACCATTATTTAAACCTAGTGTCCACTCAGCAGCCTTTATCTGCATTCATATGTATACCATGTATTAAACATAGTTATTGTTGGGCATTTGAACATTTTCTTTCATAGGAAATAATGCCTCTATTAGACGTCTTTGAAAATGGTTTGTTTTTCTTTGAATTATTTTCTTAGGGTAGGATTACTGGGCCAAAGTATATGAACATTTTTATGGCTCTTGATACAGATTAGCCTTTGAGAACTGAATCCGGTTGCCATCAGTGATGTGAGAATTACTACCCTCATCCCCTCGAGCACTGCCATACTTTTGGTATTTTTCAAATTGTATATTTGTGAAATGAGGCCTCAGTGTTAGCCCTTCTGTAAATTACAGGTCACCCCATCCAGCCCTTTTCACCTGTCCCTGCTTGCCTTGGTTTCCCCAACTAAGTCACAAGCACATGACCAGGCCTACCCCGTCCATCAGTGGGGTTTAGTATCAGTTACCTCACTGCAACTGGGAGTCCTTGTGGTACCCAGTAGGGCCCACTACCTCCCCTCTGCCTTGCATCCCAGTTCCCAGAATTGGGATTCACTCTTGAGCCCATAAACTTCTCAATATAGTGGTTTGCAATGTACATATTTTCAAGTAGATCCTAATAATTTGCCAAAAAGGTGTCCCAGGGCCTGCTTTGAGTGTCTTTGCAGTTAGCACATTAGTTTATTTGTAAAGAACCAATGCTTTGTTAAATATTCCCTCTAGCAATCGTGCTGATTTCTTAAGCAAACTCCCTCTTCACTGTGCTAACACTAGTCATCCCTCATGTCAATCTCCAAATCTGACTACAGGGCCAGAATTTGTGAAGTCTTGAAGAGAGCAAGAGGAATGCTTATTGAGAAGACCACATTGTTTAATAATACAAATCACAGTAGCACTGAAAATGGCTCTAGTGAATGGGCCTCATTCCATTTAGGCAGCTAAAGGGAGGGGGAAGTCCTAGTCCTCTCCCTGAAGCTAAATGTTCATCTGGGAAAATGGAGGATTGAGCACAGAGGTATTTTCTTAGGGAAAACAGAACGCCCAGCAGTGGGTAAAACTGCAAAAGTAAAACCTATAGCTGTGCTTCTGCACTAGCTACAAGGCCATCCCAAAGGAGGGAAGCTGGGTCCGGTAAGGAAGATGAACCGTTTCTGGTCTTGCTCCTGGCACATAGTAAAGTGGTGTTAGTCTGTGTTGAATTAACGTGTGAGTGCTCAGGATTATTTCCTGAAAATTGGGTTCAGGAATCTATTGGAAATAGCTTAAACCTAGAATTTCCCTTTTAGAAAGTCTCAAGTATGGTTCCCTAACCTGGACAAGATGGTCAATGTGGGAAGGAGGCCTGAAGAGAGGGCAGGGTGGCAGAAGGGAGCAGGGTGCATGCTAGCCCAGAACCCCGACACCCTTCCTAGAGCAGTGGCTTGGCGACTCCACACCACAGTAACCTGCCGAGTTCAGAGCCAGAGGGATTATCTGTCTCACCGAGGATGTGAAGCTTCCCTGGGCTACATCCAGTCACCTGCTGGCCTCTACAGTTCCCTCGGCAGCACTGCCGGTTCCTGTGGCTGCAGAGCAGCCCAGCACCACGTGCCTGAGGAACAGGCTCTGTTCCTCCATGGGCCCAGGCCTGATGGCCCACCCAGAGGCACCAGCTGCTGATAAGGAGCCGGTGAGTGCCTACACCGTCGGCTGAGCCCCACATGGAGACAGTATTCCAGTGAGGCGGGGACATCAGCACCTCAGCCCTGTTTGCAGGCCCCTCACATCAGCCACTGCTCCTTCTCTTTGACGAAGTGCTCCGCCCAGCGGCGAGTCAGCTCCAGGTACAGGCTGGGCTGATGAGGCAGGTAGTCCAAGTACAGACGAGTTGGTGTCTTCTTGGGAACGGCCTTCTCAATCTGGGTGCCCTCGTGCCACTCATTGAAAGAGGTGATGGAGACGATCTCGGGCCTCACTGTCAGGGCTGCCTGCAGGGCTGTCTCATAGTATTTGCCATTGACCCTGTTCCGCGTGTTGTGGTTATTCCAGGGCCGGATGCTAGTGTCAATGTACCCAGGCCCCACACTGGGAATGAACATGAGGTTGTTGGCATCACAAAAGTTCTTCACAGCTTTCCAGTTCTGATGGGAAGAGCCAAAGGAGAAACCATTGGAGGCAAAGTAGGTGTACATGCCATCGAATCCGGCGGCCAGGATGTCATGGGTGTGGCCCTCCTCCACCAGCAGCGCTATGAAGACCCCATCATAGGGGGTGTTGCGGATGGAGTGCAGCCCATTTGGTGTCAGGAGATGGGCCCAGGCCTCAGGGGTTGTCAGGTATGAGTCGTAGATATAAAAGAGTGGGAGGCTCTTTCCCATGCTGTTCTTATAGCGGTAAAACGCACCATGGGAGCCATACCTGAGGAGCAGAGGAAGCAGCACCTGAGTGGCAGCCTAGGGTGGCAGAAGCCAGCACCGCTGTGTCACCAGCCATGGATGAGAGCTTTCCGGATGTCCAAGCACAATTTTGGATCCAGCCAGTCTCCATAATTGAATTGTCATGCCTTTAAGCAAGAACTAGCTCCCTCCCTCCTCTCCCCAGCCTTGTCATTCCTTTAGTCAAGCCTCACCTCCCTGCCCCAAGCCAAGCCACATCACCTTTCATCTGGACTGCAGGCTCCCAATTCTACCTCCTTATAATCAGTTCTCTTTTTAAAGTCTAAATCAGATCTGATTGCTCCAAAACCTGCCAGGCCCTACCTACTTGATCTGGCCCTGCCACTTCCGTTCCTGCTATTCTCCCATCTACCTCTACACTCTGGCAACACTGGCCTTTCTAGTAGTAAACTTGTCCCAAACTATGACCTTTGGATCTGACAGCCCTCTGCCTGGAATTTCTGCCTGTCCTGGATCTTCACAGAGCTGCCTCTTCATTTAGGTGTCAGCCCACATGTCATCTCCTCAGAGAGCTCACTTGACCACCCATTCTAAAATATTTTTTGGACACACTCTAGCAAACACAACACCCTGCTTTATCCTTTATTATTACTCTTCCATAGTATGAATCACTATTTGATTTTTGCATGTGTAACTACTCTCTGTTCCACTGCACCCACTACATACACTAGAATGTAAACTTTGCTAGTCCTACCTACTACTGTACAATGGACTTAGGACAATGCCTAGACAACTCAAGGCACTCAATAAATGTTTTTGAATGAATGAATGACGTGCAAGCACTGTACAAGCCATTTTCACATATATTAACTCATGTAACTCTCACAACACTCACATTAAGAGGCTTGCCATGTGGCTCAGTGGTTGAGCATCAACCTATGAACCAAGAAGTCATGGTTCGATAGCCAGTCAGGGCACATGCCCAGGTTGCGGGCTCAATCCCCAGTGTGGGGCATACAGGAGGCAGCCAATTGATGATTCTCTCTCATTGATGTTTCTATCTCTCCCTCTCCCTTCCTCTCTGAAATTAATACTTATTTTTTTTAAAAAAAAGAGGCTTGCCTTTGTTACAGATTGGAAGCTGCAGAATCAAAATTCAAACCTAGGTTGCTGGTTCTAAAGCCCAATACTCTTACTATAAAATAACTGCTGGGGAACACAGGCATTCTGCCCATGTGTCTCTTGACCTGCCCCTCCAAACCTATCCTTACTCCTATTTTGATCCCCACCAAAGTCCATGCCCCAGAGCAGCCTTACGTGTCAATGATGTACTTGATGTTGTCATGCAGTGTGATGTCATCCCGGCCCTTGTAAGGTTGGATGTGGAAGGCCACCTGCCACAGATAGGAGATACTGGTCACGTGATTATCTGTCCAGGGGTCACAACCTATAAGGCTGATGCTCCAACGATGGACTAGAGGAGAGGCTGAGTTCAGGAGAGGACCCGGCAATGGTGGGCACTATAGACATAAAACAGCCACTGCTCTCAGGGCCAAGAAAGAGGGTCAAGAAGTTTCCCACCTCCCACATCTGGGCATCACTTTTTTGGGGGAGGGGGAGAGTCATTCTGTTGGGCTGTGGCAGGGTGGCTAATAGGTTTCAGCTTATCTGCCAGTTCAAGTGATTGGCATTTGCTACCTAAAACTGTGGGAAGAATCATACTGAAGCTATGTCAATGGGAAAATGTGCTATGACCTATTATGCATGTTAGTGATGGGCTCAGGAATGGGAGTGAGGCTCTTCTTCATCATTGTTCTGCCACAGGAGAGGAGAATGACTTATTTAATTGGTACATTTGGGGAAAATAACCGGATATGCTAAGCTCAGCTCCCTCATTCCTCTTGAAAGCAAGCCTACCTGCTGAGAACAGGTGTGCTCTGCCCCCTGAGGCCCAGCACTGCCTCCCGGAAGGAAGCTGAGGCTGGAATTGTTGGTGGGCCCATTTGGTTCTTGCCTGCCCTCTCCAGCGTCAGGGTCTCCAATTTAAACTCTATTATTTTGATATTTAGTCTCTCATTTCTCCTATATTTAGTTTTCCCAACTTTTTTTCAGAACTGAAAACTTGAGTGACAATAGGCAGTATTTATTCGAACCC